GGTCATAACAATGGTCGTTTAATAACAAATGGAATATTTGAACAATGTCAACGTGCTATTATTGATTATCTTGGCAAAGATACAACATTAAAATATAATGTTGCAAAACGTTTTTTAGAACCATTAAGTGAAGTTCTTAATGGTGTACCACATAAGTATGTAAATATTTATAATAAACTATTTTAAAGTATTCTAGCATGAGATTGATTGATATTTTAAAATTCAAAGTCGAGATATTAGTTTGTTGGTTTTTAATTTGCAAAATGACTTAAGTTTAAATTTAAATAGAATCATCAATCTAATTGCAAGCAGCAGCTTTCGAGATTCTTCTATAAATATCATCAAATAGAAGAAACTAGGCTGAAGTTAAGGCTCCCCCTCCCTCAAAATTCTATCTCAGGCTAGAAGCATTCTCATGGCATCAGATTTTCATGATATGTTGGGGCTGGTATGGGATGGCTATGGTAAAATGTTCAGCCCTGTACCATGACGTTTGACGGAGATACTCATCAAACAAGCGTTAAAAAATAGTTAATTTCGCCTCCAAAATTTCTCTGGCTTTCAGTCTATACATTTTATATTTTTCTTCTTGTTTGAAAGAGCATGTCAGAGTGCAGTGCCTATGAGAGCCCTTTTTTAAAACTCTTACTTTTTAAGGGAAAAAAAAGGGACCGAAAGTTCAATGACTCAAAAAACCTTTCCAAAAATGACGCTCGAATTATATAAAGGTTTGTATATATAATATAAGCAAAGCTTAATCAAAAAAAAAGGTGGCTCTCATAGGCACTGCAGTTTTACACGCTCTTTCAAATAAAAAAAAACTATTGGCTACAATGAAGCTCCTTCGAGAAAAATCGAAAAAGATTTTCGGTTTTTTCCAAAAGCAGCTTGTTTTTCGAATAGAAGATGACGAAAATCTTCAAAATTTTTTTGGAAAAAAGGACGTGTCGAGTAAAAATTTTTGTCGTTTATGAGAGATCCAATGGCGAGCTATCTTCACCTGCATTTATCTTCATTTCGTTGATCTTGATTCAAAGTGACTTTTTTTGAGGGGGCCTTAAGGACAAAAATGAAACTTGAGACGGACGACCAGTTGATGGTTCTCTTTTGATACACTTGCAATATATTTTATGAAATCTATAGATTACTCCAATGATTTTAAAAATCCTGAGTAGTCTCTCATTGAAAATATTTCGATTGGTTCTATTATTCTTATTTCTTGTATTTCAAGATTCACAAATCAATAGATTTGTATGACATTTGATTGCTTAAGTATTACCTACATCAATGAGTTTAGAAGAAATTCGACTTCTGTTAGGCAATTTTCTCAACTAAAATATATTTAATGAATTCTCACAAGAAGATTGATATGCATATCCGAAAAAGAAAATAGGCAATTGAAGTTTTATTTACTCAGTTTTCTTTAATAGTTTATTATCGATTTAACATCTATTAAACTTGTATGTAATCGTCTATGTATTAATTTCTTTTCTATTCATATAGAAGTATGCGATTAGATACAGAATCTAAACAAATAGCCGAATCATATTCTTCATCATCTAATATTCATTCATCAAAATCTCTTGCAAATATCATTGACAATGAATTTGCTCATTTATCAATGAATACATTTACTTACGAACTAAAACCAATGTCTGATAAAATGTCCACATCATTATCATCGATAAATGATATAAAAGATTTATCAATATGTGATTATGAATTAACATGTCGTTTTATTGAAATAAATATGCCTATTGTACCACCATTAAAAATGAAATTAACTATACAATATCCTAATGAACCACCTGAAGTACTTTCATTAACATCAACAACATTAAGTTTTACACCAGCTAAACTTGAAAAATCAGGTAAATTAATTATAATTAACAAAATATTTATTATTCTAATTTTTTTCTAAAGATGGTCATTCATTTTTTGAATCAATATCTCGAAATTTTATATATTTTCTATTTAAACTACCAACACAACATACTGTTACTGATATTTTAGATATATGGGTAAGATCATCGATTATTTATAATGAGTAGCGTAGAATAAATTAGACTGTTCGCATTTTTCATATTTCTCTTCTATTGTTCATTTGATTAAAACATTTCTTTTTATCTAAAGATAGCAGTTGAAAATCTTCAAAAACAAAAAATACAATACTTGTACTTAACGAATATAATTTCCTTTGATTATTTTTATTTGCAAAATTAGCTTGCCGATTTTGTTCAGATCAGTTGAACTTGCCTCTTTGGATCTCTCCTATGAGATATAGCCAAGATTTTTATGCGATGGCAGAGGTACTCTCTTTGATTCAACAGGTTGCTTTCTTGTTGACTTCCGTTTCGTGAAAAGTAGACCCTATCTCAATTTTGTTTGAGTTGTGTGTGGGTAATCGGAATGCTGTAGCATATTGATAAAGTCACTGTTGTTGATGATTTTTATCCATAATTTATTTGTTTGTAATTAAACTAATCCAACTAAATTATAACGAGTTTTTGCTGTTTCACCAATTTTTTCACATTTATTTTTTACACCTGTTTGCGTGTATTTATTTTTCATCTTTGTCTAAATATTTCTAAACCAATTTTTGGATCTAGTCAAGTATAGTTTTGTAGAGAATTTCATACAGAATAAAAATATGCTTGAATTAAATGAAAAAAAAAGTAGAAACACAATCAAAATACAAACAGTCTAATTTATTCGGCGTCAACTGTTATATCTAATTAAATCTTCTTATTTTCTTCTTTTTAGTATACTTCCATTCGTACTGCTTTCTTATCTCACCAAGAATCATAAAAAAAATAATTTCTTGTTTTGTTTGTTTTTTTTTTTGTAACGTATTACATATTTGTATTCAAAATATGTTTCTTACTTGAATGTATATTGTCTATGTGTAATTGAATGTGTATGCTCGTTTTTTCTTGTTACAAGTTTATTTGTAATGATGTTGAGCAAAAAAAAAAAGTAGAAGACAAAATGTTATGTGTTATTGTAAAGAAAAATATACGATAATAATCAAAATAATTTAGTTAGTTTTCGTTTTATTTTCTATTCGCATGGACGAAGTTTTGAAGATACTGTAACACCAACAATGCGTACACATAGTCTAGTACCATTCATTGAAAAAGTATGAGCATCACGCCAATTGTTAGCAAACATATCTTTTTGAACAGTAACTTTTATGTTTTGAGCATTTGATGGTAATGTTACTGATTTTGTTTGATGAGTCAGTAATGTGTCACTTTGCACTAGATATGGTTGACATTGAGGATCTGTATAGAGAACACTAAGACGAGTATCCATTGCAGCATGATTTTGAAGAGTTATAACAATTCCTATAATATGACAAGATGTTAATTAATACAAGAAAAAATTGAATAAAAGAGAAAATAATTACCTGTGGTATTTGTTTGTGAGTTTGATGATGCACGTGCTTCTAAATCCTGTTCATTTTCATCGTTATCTGCTTCATCCCCAATATCTTTCAAGAAATTTCGTCGATCTAAAAGAACTTTTAATATTTATTTGATGTCTAAACAAAAAGAAGAAGTTTACTTGATTTAATTGCATGTCTACTTTGTTGAGTTTCTCCTTGATCTAAACCGAATATTTGATAAGGAAAAAGATATTTAAAAAGAAATTTCGAAATATGTTGTTCATTTTGTAGCCATTATCAACATGTTTTTTTTAAGTAGCGAAGATTTATTCGTAAATGCTTATACTTAACTAATGTCGGCGTAAACTTCTTTTTTTCAAGTATGTTTTGATGAGTGAGAAAAAATTGTAGAAATCGAAAGAATTCCATTTAATTTTACTCTATAGATACTCGATTTCAAGTGATCAATATTGAGATAATCACCTGAATGATAGTTTGAACTATAAATCCGAAGCACATGCCAAAATCAAATTTACATCGAAATGGAATACTAATTATTTTTAAGTTTTTGAAAAGACAATGAATTTTAAGAAAATTTTGTCTCATGTAGTATAAGACAAAAAGATTTCCAGAGTTGTCCTCTTTTGATTAGGTTAAGAACATGTTCGTTCTCTTCCATGGTTGAAGATTTTTGGTTTTTTCTGTGATCATTGTGTAGTCTGAAATAGTATCTATCTACTGAGTACATTTTGGAATCTAAAAGTTGTGTTTAAACATTTAAAAAATGCGAGAAGTAGTCCAATATAAGACAACTGTGCATTTTTTCATATTCCTCTCAATATAAATTTTTGAAGAGAAAAATTGAAGTATTCTTTCAGACACTTCAATTGATTGAGCTGAAATTTTTGATGTGACAATTAGGCATAGGCGAAAGAATGCAGATAACATAGTTGCTATGAACAATATTTAAAGTTAATAGAACAAAACAACATACGGTGTCGACGTTCTTGATAAGATTCTTCCAAATGATCTTCTCTTGTTTCTAAACAATATTCAGAAATAAAAATTTCAATACTAAAACATAATCGATATTTGTATTAACCTAGAAGACTTCGAAGTGCAGCAATACGTTGTTCGAAGCTTTTGTCCAAACTAGCTGCCAAAGATACGAAGAGTAAAAAGAAGAGACAAGTTTTTATGTTAATCATTTTCCGATCGTTTATCGTCACCAACGTTGTATTCAATATGAAATGCAAAACTAAAAAATCATCAGTTTACGCATCATTGAATTGCATATTAATTTTTTGTATGTACAAACCGTTTCGTTGTCTATTAGCGCAATTAGTACTCCTCCGTTTCTCCACCGTCTCCCTTCAAAAGAAAAAGCAATAATTAGAAAAAAACTTAATTTTGTTTACAATATTCATGTTAATCATATGTGCATGTCTTTTTCTTTCAAGATGACAAAATTACATGTAAACGACTATATTGACTTATTTTGTTTCTATTGACATTTGAATCCTAATACAAATACTATATAAGGTTACAACATAAGATACAGCCGATAATTTGAGATCTGCATCACGATCATGGTCGTAACCAAAAGGAGAAAAATTTTTTCGCAACAGTTTTTCATAAAAAGGCTAAACAATAGAGAAAAATGTTGTGCATTGGCCATGACCAGCGCTTGTCACGGTTCGTCAGGAAAATTTTTGGGCATGACCAAAACAACATCTTTCTCTGTTGGAGATTGTTTTCTTCTCACGTCTTGAACGATATTTTAAAAACCAGAAAATTCTAAAGCAATGGTTCAGCTTGATTTAGTTTTCTAGTCTTGTTATGAAAAGCTGTTGCGAAAAAAGTTTTCTCTTTTTAGTTACGACCGTAATCATGATGTAAATCTCTGTAATGTATATACTTTTATTTTTGATTTTCATTGATATATGGGTAAATTATTGAACCGTGAATTTGATTCATAATGATAATAAAAAACAATTATCATTCAGTTGATTGCTGGAAAATTAGAAAGAGTATCTCATAAATATCCAAACTTCTAAACTTAAAAATGTATTCATTTGATATTGAATGAAATTTTAAATTAGCACAACTTTACTTTAAAGTATTCTATGTTATTGTATTTCATATTTAACACATATTTTTACAAATGACAATATCTTTTGTCATCTGACACGAAGAATTATCTTTGAAGAACTATGCATTTTTATTTTGTATATATCATCTAGTCTTTAACAAAACTTGAATAGTGTTAGAATTAAGTGTATGACAATTCAAAAATTAGTTAACATAGTAGATTATCAAATTTCTTTTCAAAGCATTGACATAAAATGAAATTTGCCAAAGAACATTTATACTCTTGATTAGACATGTGCGGGACCAACTTTTTTTGGTCCCGGTCCCGGTCGCGGTCCCGGTGAAATTAAATTTTTGGTCCCGGTCCGGTCCCGGTCCCGGTAAATTTTTTTTGGTCCCGGTTTGGGTCCCGGTGAAAATTTTCATTTGGTCCCGGTCCCGGTCCCGGTGGAAATTTTCCTTTTGCTGCTGATTCCGGTGAAATTCTGTTTTTTAGTCCTGGGCTCAGTTAACACATTCGCTACGATGTGGCCTAACAGTGAGCCACGCTACATTTTAACGAGAAACTGTATAGAAAAGTACTTTATTTTTCTTTGTTCTTAGACAGAAGGTTGAACATAAAGCTTTATCTGTTCTGCCTTCAGAACTCTTTTTGTGTCCGTTATTCCATAGCATGATGGGTCTTGTTAAAAAAATCAAGACAAAAAAAATTGTTACTCACAACAGAACGTTTTTACTTTCTTTGCTACCGCATAGCTCGCTTCTCTTGACTGTTGTGCCCTTCCTTTCGCAAAGCAGCCAGTACAGCGTCTGCGGACATTGCCCTTAAATCCTTCCTTTTCTTCGAGCTTGCGATTAGTGAATTCGCGCTTGAATTGGGTTGCTGATTCAACTTCTCGAATGGCATGTCATGCTGAAATGACCTCACAGGGGTTTCGCCAAACTACAGAATGGTTACTTCGCTACATGTGATATTACAAATGGAAAAGAGAAAACGACAGATCAGCATAGGATGAAAAGACCAAGCAGTGCATTTATCGCAAGATGAATGCAGACGAAAATGAATCTCTAGAGCTACTCTTTAATAAAACCGAATCGCGTCGAATGTGTTAAATTTGGTTTTTGTTCTCCACCCAGTCTAAGGAACCTTACTTTTTCTGTTATTTGTCCATAGTCAGAGAAGTTGTTGCGGAATCTGCCGGTTTTAGATCTGGAGCAGTTCTCACTTGTATTTCCGCCGATGTTTCTTATCAACGGCAAACATGACCGGGACTAAATTGTTTTTCGATCCTGGTCCTGGTCCCAGTAAAATTCTATTTTTTGGTCCCGGTCCCGGTCCCGGTAAAATTCTATTTTTTGGTCCCGGTCCCGG